CCCCAAAACCCCAAAACCCCAAAACCCCAAAACCCCAAAACCCCAAAACCCCTAAAAAATATAATAATTGAAATTTAAATTTCCTAATGAGTGAGGAAGACTTCCGGCCTCCGTCCCCGATCAGGGCTTCCCAGTTAGACCCTGAAGAAGCTGAACGGCTTATGATGCAGTCAGATTTGTTCACTGAGAGCGACCAGTTTGATAATGAGAGTGATCTTGACATGCTGAGAGAAGGCAGATATGATGACTATATACGAGATAAGCTAGGTAAGATAAGAAGTGCTGGGGTGGGCTAGAGGGGGTTTAGGGAGTTGACAGGGGGATATGGAGAGTTTAGGTGGACAGAAAGAGAGTAGTACTAGCCAAGTTCATGATTATTCAGAGTAAGTACATTACTGTTCAATTATATCAGTTTGGTTCTAAACAGTTTATAGGAAACAAAAAGAATTTGAAGTGTACCTTCAGAAGCAGAGGGAGATAGACCAGCAGATCTTTGATGGTATTGGTATGTTAAAAGACTGTAACATTCTAGAGGATCTGAAAGATATCAAAATTGAAGCCAGAGAAATCCAGCCTCAATTCGACCCTGCCAAACTAGCTGAGGAAGAAAAACGGTTAGACGTACCAGAAGCTAAACTTGGTGAAGAAGATGAGGTGTCTTCACACCAAAATGATGATATATGAGAGAAGCAGCCTCTTGAAATAACAGAAAACGGCATACAAAATCAGATAAATGAATTTACCGACCAAATAGAAAATCCGAAAAAGGAAGATAAGCCTGAAGAGCTGTTTAGTAAAAATCAGGATCAATGAGAGTCACCACTAGTTGAAGAAATAGAGAAGTCTGAAGCTGAGAAGGTTGAAGAGCCAATTTATCAGCCTCCAAACCCTATCCACATATTTGCAGAGACCAATCTTGAGATAGAAAGAATTTCAATGGAAATGGAGGATCGAGCCAGTTTGAAATATGAAGAATTCATGCATAGGCAGAAATTCGCCCAGAAAGATGCTGAAATTCCTCTTGGAAATGGAGTATGTCCTAAAAGTCTTTGAATAAATGAGCCTACCCACCCAAATCCAAAAATGAAGGAGCCAGTTAAAGAGTCTTTCACCAAATACATGGCTAATCAGAGACCAATTGACCTTAGCAGGACGACATTTAGAGTATTATGGAGTAAAGAGAAAGTTGCTAGAGAGGAGGAAGAGAAACGACAGTTAAAGGAAAAGGCCAAACGAGAGAAGAAAAAGAAGATTGTCAAAACCCTTGGTGCAATCCTAAGCTCCGATTCCAGCACCAAAGCTTTATTCAAGCCTAAGCAGAGTCTTTATAATGAGTTCCAGTCGCAGCCTAATAAGCCGATAGAGTATAGGTTGGAGGAATCGATCCCAATATCCCAAGCTGATAATATTACTGGAAGGATTTATCCAGATAAAGCATGAATGCTGGCTTGTGCAACTATCTCTCATGCACAGAAGATGAGGGAGAAGCTGATATCCTTCACAAAGGATCTGGCCCATCCCAGGTTTGATGATTATGTCACAGAGGCAGAGCTAGTCTATAAGGACAAACAGAAAATAGAACAAATCAGAAAGGCTAAAAATATGCAAAAGGATAAGGGATACCTTGGGATTATCGAGGAGGACATGATGCATGAGATCTCCGGAGACTTTGACTCCAAGCTCGATGATCTCAGTGACCCTCTGTTCAGCAACCTCCAGATGAATTATGGGAACAAAGACTCAAAACATATTGAGGTCAAGAATGAAAGTGACCTCAAGAAGCTTGATTTTAATGCACTGAAGGATTATAAAAGATTAGAGCACCTTGATTTGTCTATAAATGCTTTATCTGAACTGAGTTCAACAGAGAATGCTAAGTTCTGCAATTTGGATAGCATCAAGGCTTCTCATAACCACTTGAGGAAATTTGATTCCGCTATTTTTGAGTCATGTCCGAGGCTAAAGGTCCTACAGCTAGATATTAATGAACTTGAGTACTTGCCTTTACCTCCGAACACAAATGTATTGACCAAGATAGACCTAAGTAATAATAGGATTTCTGTGATCCCCAAGCTTACTGTGTGCCCTTATTTATCGTCTTTGAATTTGTCTAAGAATTTGATCAGGGAGATTCCCCAGTTTATTGTCTACAACTTATTCCTCACTGAGCTGATTCTTAACGGAAATCAGATAGAAATAATGCCGAAGGGATTTTCAATGCCAATGCTGAAGCTGCTTAATCTTGCTGACAATAAGCTGGTCGATTTTAGAATCGCATATTGCCCGATGCTTGAGGTTGCCAACCTACGAGACAACATGATCTTTAATATGGGACCACTTTGGGGATGCCCAACACTCAAATCGTTCGATGTCTCTTTCAACCAGATTCAAGCACTTGAGGCTATCCTTACTGCATTTTCTATGGGAATGTTTGCAAAATTGGAAAAGCTGAAGTTTAACGATAATCCTTTTCTTAAGAATAGGAATAATTGAGTGGAGGGTTTCATTGTAAAGCAGTTTAGATCTCTTCAAGAGATCAATAATATACCAACCACAGACTTTGGGGTACCCAAAATGATCAAAATGTTACCTTCTAATGTGTATATCCTACCAGATCCTGCAGACATGTTGAGCAAGAATTTGCAGTTGTTGCAAATAATGAACTTGGTGATACTGCACCAAAGCCAGAAGAACTTCTTAAATGTCAAGATAAACAGTATAGTGTTTAAAGGTAAGTTCCCTACCTAATAAAACCTTTAGAGTACCTTTACACAACGAAATATACTATGTACAAGTACGATTGTCTTCCTTTCGAGAGCAGTCAGATCTTGAGCACCAAGATGCCTGTAAAGAATATTTATCTTTGCAGAAGCAGCCAGAACATTGGCATTTGCTCACCAATCATGGTAGAGGGCTACAAAGAGATTGCTCTGAAGGAGAAATCCATTAACAAGATTGTCTCTAGTTATAAGAAGAGGAAATTTTCAAGGAAACTGCTCTTACTGCAGATGAAAGACCATATTCGTGAGATTATCCTAGCCCAAGCTCTGGTCAGAGGATACCTTGAGAGAAAGATCTGGAGCCCAGAGCTTAACAAGATGAAGAGATACCAAGAAAATAAAAGAGTGGCCATGGCCAAGATCCGTGATGGCCTAGATGATGAGTTTGATGATGACCTTCATGAGCTCAATGACTTTTTCGAAGATAATCAGGTTAACAACCAATATATGACCAAGAAGATTGATCTACCTGAAGACGAGGAGATGAAGAAAATGCTAGAGATGATAGATAAAAAGACTAAGCCAGCTCTACCTCCTCTGAAGAATAAACCTCCTTTGGTAAATTTGAACTCAGCTGTCACTTATTCAAGGGGATTTCCAGGTGATATGAATCCTTCTCATACTATGAAGTCGACTTCTTCAAAGGCATCAGATCTGAGCCGCAAGAGGCTTCAAGAACATGGAGAGTTAATAATGAGAGGGGCACCTAATGCTGCTATGTTTCATAATCCAGGGATTCGTAGGGAGAGTTCTCCTACTTCTGTTTCAAATGCCATCACTGAGGTAGATGTAAACAGTGAGAAGCACATGAATAACTTCAACTATAACTCAAAGCCCGCGATGAATAATCTAATGAATAGTAGTAGAGCTAGCATTACAAGAAGCCAGATAGGTTCAAACAAGCCATCAATCAATGAGCAGAAGAAAGACTATGTCGATTCATGGAATTTCCAGGATGAGAAATCTAAGAAATTGATGGAAGCCAGGTACCTCAACATGAGAAGAAGAAAGTTGAAGAAAAAGAAGTTGACTGCTGATGACAGACTGAAGCAATTCAGAAAGATCTCAAGGAAAACAGTTCATTAGTATTTCCTTCCTGATAATATTTTCAATTTGTGATGTTTGACTGGGGTTTTGGGGTTTTGGGGTTTTGGGG